AGAGAGAGAGAGAGAGAGAGAGAGAGGGGGGGGGGGGGGTTGTGGAGGGGTCAAAGAAGGGGTAATGTAAAGCTTTCCACGTTCAATAATTTGATTGTATTTTGTCCCAAACACAAGGGTCTGAATCAACACATGGGCCCTTCAAATGCTCCAACCTGTCCCTCATGCTTGGGACCCACACCACCCTTAATTTCCAATTTAAAGCCCTTCATCTAACTTGCTAATGTCTAATGACCTGTTTTGTGGTCCATCCCATATCTAAACTTTGGACCAAATTTTAATTACGACAGTTAAACTATGGTATTATATTGTTATATTTATGATCATCATGTGAATGCAATTTGTTCGCAATAAATAGAATTTTCGTTTGGAAAGTAGGCATGCCATTATTTATTTACGAGTCTGAGTTTATGATCTATTGTCTCTTGCTTATTAAAACAAAAATTTAGCCGGATTTAGAAATGATTGCTTATGGTTAGATATTGAGTCTGGCCAGGGATATCAAATAGGAGTACATTTTAGTTGAAAGAGAACCTCCCAAACTTGAACCAAAACTCAAAATGAAACCGAATGATTTTATTTACAAAATAATCGAAATTTAATGGATGATTTTGGCTCTTGAAATGCTTAGACCAACCCACATCACCCACGCTACGTACACTCTATCGATCATTAACCTATTAAAGTAATAAGGGTTAATCCCTCACATCTATATGCAAATTGATTGTCAACATTTATTAAAATTGCACAATCTTTCTAATAGACAACCGTTAACCAAACCTACGTCAAATCATCACGTGGAACTCAACCCACATTTCTAACTTTATGAAAGTAAACTTTACTTATAATTTAGCCCCCATTTATCTCTCATTTTTTCAAAACTCTTTTTTCTATATATTCATTTCCAGCCAAACATTCACACAATAAAATATTCCACATGTAAACCCAAAACTTTTCTTTACTTTTTAATCACATATTCTCCAAAAATTCACTATTCAAAACAATATTTTTCCAAAGAAATGGCACCAAACAGGGCTTAGATTGATGCCTAAAGATGCATACATTACTAAAATATCCAATTTCATGCATCAAATTCGAAGATCCTGTCCAACATAAACATTAGCCAATTACCGCATGCAGATCTCTCAGAATAATACAGGCCAAGCTTCCCCAAACACGATCATGATCGCAACTGAGTTGATAGCTTGTTTGCAAGGTCGAGTATATACATTAGTGGACAACAAAGAGAAGGACCAAGATCTTATCAGTTCTAATGTCCAATCCTATATGTTATTGTGCAAGAAACATGAGCATAAAAGATAAATTTGAAAGGGAGGAAAGAAAAGAAAATAATCGAGATATCATGAATGTTAGGTAGATTATAGAATATTGGAAAAAATATTACAGGCCCTGGTGACATGCCAACTATTATTTGAGGATCCCTCACGAGAGCTCGGTTATCACTCGCTCACACTTGTCTTCCAAAATCTTCACAGCTTCGGTGAACAGCATCTCAGGAGGTAATGCTCCGGTAGACTCTATAGTAACTACAAAAGTAGAACATGAAGAAAATATACGAGTTTATCATAAAAGGATTCGAAATCGAAAAAAAAAAGATGACGGCAAACCCATGACATAATCTTTCAATAACTACCAAGATTTAATAGTTCTGTCTTCAGTAGTTTAACAAATAAACCGTGTAAGCACAAGCCACATTAAAGAATTCGATGTTTCCAGAAATCTGGAAGACATTCAATGATAGTAGCAGCTATAGAATAGAAACTTCCAAGAAATAGTTTCAACACTTCACTTACAGATGAAATGATCTTTCACACGTCGCAATGCAACATATTTATCCCAATAAATCCTTTGCTCTATTTCCTTCTCTTTTCCATCTGCTCGGATGCATTCCCTACAAAGGGTACAAGACCGAGGTCGTGCCACTGTTGCTCTCTTTCTACCTACTTGAGAGTAGAGGAAAAGTCAAGAGATAATAACTTAACACTTTTTCGTACGTAACGTATATTTTTAATCCATCTTCCCAGATGTCGATAATAACAGTTCTGCAATTGGATTTGCCATTTAAAAAATATAGAAAACACTTTAAATGGCAGAAGCACCATCTTACCTTTACCAATATCTTCAATGTCAAATACTTTAACGGGACATTTCTTTACAAGTTCTTCTGCTATTTCATCTTCTATTTCTTGCAACAACACGACCTATACAAATCGACAGTTCAGATCTTTATAAATTCCACTACACACTCGCACTTCCAATGCAATAATCAGATACAACACATAACTAACATTTTATCAAGCTTCGCCATTTTTTCCCTTTTAAAGAAGGAAGTACTAATGAACAAAGCAGTAAATATTTTTTATACCTCAGGAAGCATCCTATACCATGCAGTTGCAACAGGGGACCACTTCGCATGTGTCTTACCCATTCCTTTTACAGCATGAGCTTCCAACTCAATTTCCTGTAATCGAGCAGCATTAAATTCTCAATGAGGTAGAAAAACCAATCTTTCACATAAAATGAATCAGTTTCCCAATCAATTTTCTTCAACTGCACAAGACTTGTTATCGAGGCCCTGTTTGGTACACATTATTTTTTTCATTCTCATTCTTCTACTCATTTTCAACCACATATTCTTCAATAAAATAATATTTTCCATCACATCAATAACTTTTCCTTCATTTTTAATCACACATTCTCCATCAATCTACTATTCAATAATATATTCTTTTAAAAGAATGTGTCCCAAACACATTCCGAATAGTAAAATAGCACAGCGATATAGACAAATGATCATTATTATATGTTTGCTCACTGATGCCTTCTGCAATCAGATAATCTCATCAACAAAAAATTTTGCGATGATTCAAACATACCAAATAGTAGCCCAAAGCCCAAACATACAAAAACACACAATCTGAACGAGCCGAAATGATGGGTGATAAAGGGTTCATTCGCAATGCAAATTGATAAAAAAAAAATTTTAACCTAAAGGCCTAAAAAACTCAATTCATACCTGTCCAGGTCCCAGTTTAGCTATAATAATATCATCATGCTTGGGGCCAATTGGGTTATTAGAAAATTCTGGTAGAGAGTCTTGGCTACAATTGAATGAAGTATAAGTTCTGGGCCTTGAAGTTGGATCCACGTCTGGCTTTTCTGTGCTCAGGGTGAGCTCACTGCCTCTAGGTAGCCACTGTAGTTCATTGGACAATACTATATCCAGAAGACAGAAAACAAAGTGTTGCATCAGTTAGTAACACAAAAGAAATGAAATAGTAATTTGATAACATAAAGTGAAACAGAGCCCATGATCTTCGTTCACTGATATGTACATAATACCTTGAATCCGTGAACTGCCCCTTTCACAACGACTATGAAGCTTGAATACAATGGTGTTCTTTTCATTCGGTACATCATTTTCTGGAAAAAAGAAACAACTTAACCATCACATATTGCCCATCGAAAGAAGAAAGAACTAAGAGAAGGTAACATTTGAAGATGAAAAACTCAAACAAACCAACTTGGAAGAGGTAAAACCTGACATATATTCAAACATCCTCGGGTCAACTTTAAGCGGAATGAGACCCAGTCTATGGGCAAGAACCTCATCTTGGATAACTGATGTGTTGTTTGCAATCAAAACCTTTTCAATAGCCATAGTGGGAAGCTATATAGAAACACACACCAAAAAGGGGAAAACAGTTAGCCACACACTCAAAAAATTTCAAATGCATTTAGAACAGAGACTAATGCAGTGTTGCAAATCCAGCCATTCTTTAAAATAAGGAAAGAAAGTAACAAGTGTGCTCAAAGCATATACATCAAGTACCTTGTGTCCTAATTCTATGAGTAAGAAGCTATCTTACAAGGACCGTATGTGGTGGAATTTTTTAGCACAAAATTCTCTCTGGGCTTGGGAAGTCTAAATATTAGAAAAAGGCATTCATGCCAGGCCCAAATTAACCAAATGATTCCGTTATTTGGAAAAGGATGCAAATTGTTAGGCTTGAGGCTGAACCTTATTTTGGAGGATGGGACAAGGTAAAATATCATTTTGGTTTAACAACTGGCTGGGAGAAACAGTATTACAGAACATGTATATGAACTACCACCAGTCACTATAGACTGTAAAGAATCTTAAAATGTGGAATACATGGGGAATTGACAGATTCAAGTCTATACTACCCACGAGTCGAATACAAGAAATACAACAAATCCCAGCAGCTAATAATGCCCCAGACATGATAACTTGGAAGCTATCAAATGATGGTTCTTTCACATTAAAATATGCTCGGGAGCTCATCAAGGAAAAAAAAAAAGGATGCATTCAGTCATCACTCATCGCATAAGTAAATATGGCACATAAGTAAATATGGCACATATCCATCCCTTTGAAAGTCTCTTTTTGTGGCGATGTTATGGTTCTTGTTCATATAAATTAATCCATATTCTGCAATATATTCTCCCAACTAAATAAAATATGGGACAAAAAACCAGAGAAAAGAATTTAAGAAAAAAAACTGCATATCACCATTTAATTTAATATAAAATGACTATTAAGTTCGACTGTGAGATCATTAATTAGTTATAGAAAACGGTGAAAGGCTGCAGCAGGCTTGGACTATTTCCCATCGACTACTGTCACTAATGGGGATATGCTTAAAACTAGAAGTACATTCTCTGCAATTTATTTTAAGTTGGCAAAACCACAATTGATATAAAAAAGCTTTTTAAAAACATGGCACGAACCTCAGCTATGAGGATTCTGCGGAAAGCATTTGCGAGAGAAGCATCAATCCCAATCATGTCGAACTCCATGTCATCCTCAGTAAGTCTAACAACTTCCACTCTGAAATTATCACGAAAATGTCCCAACCGCAAGCTATTATCCACTCCCATCGAAGCATAGGCACCGGAGTACCGTATATTCTCTGTCTTCAATTCCAAAAAAAAAAAATTGTCGTACATACATTTAGACAAAGTGTTGAAAATAAATTAAAAATTGGGTCTTGTGTGAGTACATTAGTGGCGGCATCTGGAGTACAGATGACTCGAGTTCTTTGGAGCTCGAGGTGCGCCGGCAGCTTTCCTTTAGGGACATCCGGCAAGTCCCATACTGAAATTTTTGGTGTTTTCTCCTCCTTCATGTTCTTCTTAGAAACGGACAAAGAGGTAGTGCAGAGGGAAGAAGGTTTAGGGTTTTGCGAAATAACGCATCAAAGAAAACGGCAGTAATATAATTTTTTTCCAAACCGGGAACCGGTCGTTTATAGGATTGAAACCGGATGAATATAAACCGGTTTTGAATTCCTTTTATTTGTTTTAAGACTTTAACCTTTTTTATTTATTTAAAATTTTACGTCGATTAGACATGAAAGTAAAATGAACGAGATCGACTTAAATAAGAGAGAAAAATATGTTTTAAGAATAATGAGAATCAACTTAATATTATTAAGTGGGCATGTACTATTCGTGTCTAAGTTGAAATTTTTAAGGTTTTTTTTTTCTCAAATTCTCTTTTTATAATGCATAAAATATCTGTGTTAATAATAAAGACAATAAAAAAAAATTAAGACTTCTTTTTAATAGATTTAGAATCGACTACATAATTTTTTGTCATCTCTCCTCTCTCATTCAATTTCAACTGCTTTATAATCATCTTTGCTTGTTATAATCCTTTGCCTATCATCGATGTTAATGTGTAATAAGAGTATTAATTATCAACAAGTATGTATTGAATTAGAGACTTAAAAATGAACGATTTGATACATGTAACGAATTGGATCGAACCATGACAATTAAAATATGCATAAGCTCGAAATAGGCTTGGGACTTGATCCATCAACCTTCTTTAAAGAAGGAGATGGACAAGATATTCATCAACGATCAATCTTTTAAAATTGCATATTTAACTTTTTATTAATATTAACAAAGGCTCGATGATTTACCTAAGCCATAAAACTGATAAATTAGGGTTGTATTCGTTTGTTCTAGGTGTTTTCCCCTGTGGGTGGGATGAAATTTTAAGTTTCTTCTTCCTACAAGGACAAAGAACCAATTTTCTGCAGAAAAAACTCTATTTTCCTCCTTCCGTATCCATCTCCTCGGTTTAAACAAGGCGAGAATCTACTGCACAAATATATGTTGTTCGACCATCCTCTTGATAGTGAGTCAACCTAATATGCGTATGGTATATAAAAGAGAGAAATTCGAGAAAAGATAGAGCGTGCAATTCTCTTGTAAACTTCTTTCATGATAGTAAATTACTGTGAAGACAAAAAAACATGTAGTCTCACATTAAGATGGACGTCTACAAATCTTGTGTCTTCTTTGTGTATTTTAGCAAGATTTAATTACTATCGGTAATATAAAAATTAGGATTTCTAATTCTCGAACACACGGAAGTAGGGATCAAGGCTTAACTATATAACATCAACAAAATGATATTTCTGCATTAAAATCCGGATTTTCATTTTGGTTAATTTTCTCAATCTAAAACGAATTACTGATTCCAAATTTCACCAGGTAGGAGAGATGGATGGAAAGCACAAGCCCCACAAGTTTTTTGGAGCAAAGCTAGATGTGGGTGAAATAAGGAAGCAGCCTTTTGGGCTGAATAATTTGCCGTCAACACGGAAAGGGTGCTCGACAAAGCCATCACCTGCACAGAATCACTGTCTTTGCTCGCCGACCACCCACCGTGGATCTTTCCGGTGCCGCCATCACCAAAATTCTAGTGCTATTCAGAACAGTGGCATTGATGGCTCCAACTAATTACTCGATGTAACATGTCTCGCATATAAGATGGCACGTGCAAACGTTGATGGAGTATATGATATTAGACACTATTAATACCAATTTTTTTTTTTAATGCTGTCTGTTGTCCACGAATATTTGGGCAAACGTACACTCTAGGGATAAGAATATATGTATCTCCTTTGAGTTTCGGAGAGAATTTTGGATATCTCAAGTCTCCATTCTAGGAATTTATTTACAACCCGTTTGTTTCCCCCATTTTTTTATTACATTACATTAATTTTTTTCTCTCATCATTTCAACCACATATTCATCAAATAAAATAATATTACACACAAATTTAAAATTTTTTATTACTTTTCTAACACACATTCCCCCATCAATTATTATTCCAAAAATTTTCAAGACTCCAAAATGGGGCCAAAAATGAGCTATTTGAACAAAAGAATTAATTTTCTGACCCTTTTTTCAACACATGGGTCCCACTTACGAGATAGAAAGTCAAAAGTTGCGATTGTTGCATTTGTTACGGTAGGTAAAATTATCAAAATGAGGTAAAAAAAATTGGAAACAAACAGGGGCTTGTAGTTTTAAAATTGTTATCCTTCTTGTATCGTTTTATGACTGGCGAGAAAGTAAACCTAGTAAAATTATTGAATGATTAAAGTATATCATCATATAACAATCTAACAAAAGGGATGGATTTCTTTGAAGATTATTAATTAGGTGAAAATCTTGCAAGAAAATTCTGTCAAAAAAAAAAATTCGATTACTCTCTTCCTTGCCTAAGCAAAAAGTCAAAAACCTTGATTCCGCCGTTGTTCTATAAAATTTCTGAGGATCATGCTATTCGTACACGGGCGTTTACATGCCCGTGTACCCGGCCCCACGCCCCCCACACACAATGGGAGGGCCCGCCCCATTATTTTATTCACCTCGAGCCCCCCTCATTGTGAGGGGGGCGGTGGGATCGTGTACCCAGGCGTGTAAACGTCCGAGTACAAATGGCTTTGCCCAATTTCTAAACATGTGATATAACTAGATTTCATCTGACTCTGCCACCACGTGGTCTCCCTTTCCTCCTTATGTCGTGCGTCTTAATGCATTGGGCAACTTACGACGCTTTCGTCAAACAATTTTTGCCAATAGCACTATGGTGAATAAAGTTTTGGAACTAGTCTCCTTTTACTTTGAATTATTTTCAAATAGGAAGAATAAGATTCGAAAGGTATAATATATAGGTGTGGCTCGTAAATAACGATATGAGAACCAAATGATGGTGTGTTTGAACTACATTATTTTGGAAGAATGTATTTTGGAATAGTAGATTGATGGAGATTGTGTGGTTGAAAATGAAGAAAAAATTATTGATTTAATGAAAAATATTATTTTATTGAAGAATGTGTCGTTGAAAATAAGTAGAATGATGAAAATTTTAACGTAGATCAAATAGGGATGATGATCTGTCAATCTCGTCACGTTGTTGAGTGCCAACTAATCAAATGAATCGGATTTTTTATTCGATACAATGTCAAAAATGAAAATAAAAGTAAAAGTAAGATATTCGTCGGCTGCATTATATTGTGCTCGCTCGCCCAATTTCTAAGCTCGTAAAACAGCAATTATCGATTCTCTTGCTTCAATTTTCAGATTTTGATTACAAACAGGTTAGACCCTTTTCTTTTACAAGATTCTATGTTGTTTAATCTTGAGACCATATTGAAATTTCGAGGATTTTTTCTTCCTATTTTTTGTACGCTTTCCTTTTACAAGATGTGATATTTTTTATTATGCTTGCTGGATCTGTTTATCGTCATCGACATCAAAATGGTGAAGTGATCAATTAATGAATTTATTAATTTTTTGGGATTTGTTGCTTTGGATTGTAAATTGTTGATATGGTTGAATCTGTTCATAGCATAGGGGTGAACTTGCAGAGTAAATTTAGGATTATTCTGAAATTAAATCTGTTCAAGTTATAAGTTGGGATGATATTATATTTTAATTAATTAAAAGTAATTTGGCCAGTTAATCTATCAAAAACTATAATTCTAAAATTTGATGATGGTTTTATGTATTGATTGATTCTCAGTTAGGATTTTTGGAATTCCAGCTTTGCACCAATTACTGGGTGTTCGTTGTTTTGAGTACAAGAGGCGGAGAATGGTCAAAAGGTTACTTTTATTTCTTCTTATCATCGTTTGCACTTTTCTAATGGAAAGATTGGCTTAATGAAGATGTTACTTGAACAGATATGGAGAGTTTTGACGTGTACGAGATACCATGTTGCAGTTAGAGGGAATCAAGCATTTATGTGCTTCATTGATCCATTGTTGTGAACCTGGTAGCCAATCTAGCAGCTTCGAGGATCCTGAAATTCTTGCACGAGAGACCGTGTGTATGCTATTGCCTCCACTGTCTTTGTAATCTGTTTGAAGTTTTTTTTTTTTTTAGATTTACTTGTATGTGAAAGCCTAGTGTTTAGTGCTGCTCCATATAATTGTCACTCAATTTAAGTTTCTTATGAGAATAGGCTACCTACCGACCAAGATTTCCAATATTACATAATAGGCTGCCTAATGTCCAAGATTTCCAATATTTCCCTGATGCTTTTCATGCAATGTTTATGCAATCCAAGTTTTTAATCAGATCTTACATAACCTGCTCGTCTATTTCTTGGTGTCTTTGTTACTATGTATCTTCTGTAGTGATTATGTCTTTTCATGTAATCATTTCTGCTTGGATGCAGTTAGCGTAAGTGAAATTGAAGCACTTTATGAGCTATTTAAGAAGATTAGCAGTGCTGTGATCGATGACGGGCTGATCAATAAGGTTCATGAATATCCTGATGTGATCACTTTTGCATGAGTTTCATCTCTGATTCCCCCCCTCTTTCTCTTCATTTTGGAGTGTTGTTACCCTTTTGAAAAACAGCTATGATGTTAAATAACGTCTGTCAATACCATGTTGCAGGAAGAGTTTCAACTAGCATTATTCAAGACAAACAAAAAAGAGAGCTTGTTTGCTGATCGGGTAAATTACCAAATAAACAATGCTGTTATAGTTTTTGTAATATGTCACCAAGAAATAAGTGCTGCTAAATCTGATTGCCATGCTTTACAAAATGAATTCAGTGCTGTGCCCGTATATACAGAAATAAATATTTACTTGGACATGAAATATGTATGTCCGTGTGCATGTTGCATTGGGTTTATAGTGTATTGTGGGAGTGTGGTATGGTATACCTGAAGTGTAAGCATGTTGCATTGGGTTTATATTGTGTATTGTGGGAGTGGTGGTATGGTAAACCTCAAGATTACACTTTTTTTTTTCCAATTCTTTACTACATAATATTTTTAATGTGTTAGATGGGCTTCACAAAGCTTCTTTTATGCTTTCATACTACCAAAGCAGGTGTTTGATTTGTTCGACACAAAACACAATGGGATACTTGGTTTCGAGGAGTTCGCTCGTGCACTTTCTGTATTCCATCCAAATGCTCCTATTGATGATAAGATTGAGTGTATGTTGAACGCTTTAAATGATACTCTTTAACTGTTTCATATTTGAATCCCCTAAATTACTCACTTCCCTTTTTTATTATAATTTTACTCTGCCATTGCAGTTTCTTTTCAGTTGTATGATCTCAAGCAACAAGGTTTCATAGAGAGGCAAGAGGTAATGACTGTTGTTTTTTATTTAAGTTTTTGGATTCATAGCTTTGTTGAGCCTTGAATTCAGTCAGAAAAAGGAGCTCTTGGGTCTTTATCTCCCATTTCAACAATTCAAGTTCAAGATTTTCATGATGACTCTTCTGGTCACCAGCTAAAAAATCATGAAAAAACGATTTATCTTCCATACAATATATGAAATCTTGTTTTAATTGAAGAATATGAATAAATTGAATAAGATGAGCTAAAGGAATACCAACCTTTTCATTTCTTGTTCAAAGTAGATCGTCGCCTCTGTAGGTTTTTTCCTTCATTTCTTTCTGTGTTCTGTTGTTCTCCCTTTCGTACCTGCATCAGAACATTATATGTCAGGACTAGATAGTTAATTCTGTTAATCCTTTTGAGGCAGACCTTGCTCTTTACATGGATCCATGCAATTTTGATTCTCCGAGGGATCTCATTTTACAAGCATGTTTGGGTGGGCTTGGAAGGATACTTCTTAGTGACTTACGTCCTATTATTTTTGGGGACATCATGCTTTTTACCAAACTACTAGTTGATGTTTGACATTCCCATAACGATCTTCTGTCTAATGTAATAATATATAAACCCTGAATCCCTGGTCCACATAGTTAATTGTTTATACCATTTAGAGAATATTAGTGCTAATATTTCTGTCTTAAATATTTGACCTTGTATTCTTTGCATGTCTTACGTTTCTTATTGAGATGTTCAATACTGGGCTCCTAACTATGCAGGTGAAGCAAATGGTAGTTGCCACTCTTGCTGAATCTGGTATGAACCTATCTGATGATGTTATCGAGAGCATTATTGACAAGGTGGTTCATCAACCTAATTTTGTAATCTGTGTTTTTAAATTTTCATTTTATTATTCACTTCCACTTTTTTTTTTCCGTTTAGAGAAGAAACTCTGCAGTTCTTTAAAAGATCAATGTCCTAATAGATTGCAACTCAACCACGTAAACCCATATTAGACCTCTGTAGCAAGAAAGATGAGTTGGTAAACTCGATCACCCAAAAAAATTTATGATCCCCTAGTTTGATAACATCTCAAAGATATCAATGAATACCATGTTGAGACAGCGAAAGTGTTTCTTGATCAGTCTATACTCCCAGGAATATGCAAGAAATACTATTGATGACGCTTACATCTGTATGTCAGACTTTTGAAGAAGCTGATACAAAGCATGACGGGAAGATTGATAAAGAAGAATGGAGAATGTTAGTTTTGCGACATCCATCTCTCTTGAAGAATATGACCCTTCAATATCTCAAGTATGTACTAGAGTCAGCATTCACGCATTTCTGTTATAGTATCGAGAGTTGCATACTAAATATTCTGCTCTTTGACAAATTTAGATTCATTAGCTGCTCTTTCTTTGAAACAGGGATATCACCACTACATTCCCGAGCTTTGTTTTTCACTCAAGAGTTGAGGATACCTAGTTCCCGGCTGTGATTTAGTTTGTTGTTGATGATGTTTTATATAAGGTTACTTTGGTTTTTCAACTGTTGTCGTATTCAAGAATGCGGATATCTCGTGTGGTGTTATCAGTCGAATAGATCTACATTGTAGTAATTCTGCTGGTTTTGGAATGTTATGAATATATGTTATCCCTTATTTGAAGTACTTTTTTCAATGGAAGTTGTCTTATGCTGCTATGGGCTTTGTAGTGCTTGCTTTTATACCTCTGTTGATGGAAAGCTCAAACATAACAGTCATCAGTTGGCTAAAATTATTCCTCGCCACTCGCCAGCGGAGGGTCTTTATCCAACTTCCATGCCCAACTCTTATTGCTGTAAACTTCTGTTGGGTAATTGGCGTAAAATTTTTCTGACCTTTGCCTCTATTTTGGAATATCTCCTCATTACTTCATTTTGGTAGAAACCCCTCCTAAATAGCCCAAACCTTGCAAAAGACCTCTTGCCGTCCAATTCCGGCGTGAAATTCCCTGAAGAGGATCATCAAATTGAAAAATTGCAACTGTAGTCTCAAACCTTTCAATTTACTACATCTTATACTCAAATTTTTTGTTTGTGCCACCCAACTCCAAACCTTTTAATTTCAGTTGCAACGGCGGGTGAAAATCTGTCCATCTCTCTAATAGTTGACATGAAGAATTGTTTCCGACCATTTTTTTTAACAAATTTTAAACGGTATAAAATAACCAGTTTATATTTTCTCAAATAAAATAATTAACCAAAACCTGCAGCACCCCAAATCCAGTTTATGAAACGAACTATCTTGAGCGGCTTGTAGCTTCAAGAATCATTGGGCTGGGCGAGGCGGGGAGAAATCTAACAGCAGAAAGAGATGATCAAGAAACAAACAAGTTGTATATTAACTACGAAACACAAGAAGTCAAAAAATAGTAAGCAGAGCAAGATCCATTCAACCATTCAATTAACCCATACACGAAAAACATTTAAAAACAGATAAATATAGTATTGTTCCATCTAAAATACTTGAAAAATCAAAATGTTAAAAGTCACTTGGCAAAAAACACAGCTCTACTTAATCAACTTCTTCCATCTTGGAACCCTCAGCATCAGCATCTGCTTCCTCCAATGCTGGCATGTCAACATCAGCCTCACCAGCATCATCCTCATCAATGCTCAAACCAAGTTTAAGCATTCTGTGAATCCTGTTGCCAAAGGTGTTAGGCTCCTCAAGGCTGAATCCGGAAGTAAGCAGAGCAGTCTCGAACAGCAATAGAACCAAGTCCTTCACTGACTTGTCGTTCTTGTCAGCATCAGCCCTCTTCCTAAGCTCTTCCATGATGGAGTTCTCGGGATTGATTTCCATGGTCTTTTTGCTCGACATGTATCCCGACATGCTAGAGTCCCTCAGAGCTTGTGCCTTCATAATTCTCTCCATGTTAGCTGTCCACCCATATTCTCCAGTCACCAAACAGCAAGGTGAGTCGACAACACGGTCAGAGACAACAACCTTCTCAACCTTGTCCCCAAGAACGTCCTTAATCACCTTGCAAAGACCCTCAAACTTCTGTTTCAATTCTTCCTTCTTTTTCTTTTCATCCTCACTCTCGTCAAGCTTGAGACCTTCCTTAGTTGCAGAGACAAGCTTCTTGCCCTCAAATTCCTTCAACTGACCAACAGCATACTCATCAATAGCATCAACCATGTAGAGGACTTCATAACCATTCTTCTTCAGCTTCTCGAGGAAGGGAGAATTCTCAACAGCCTTCTTACTCTCACCAGTGATGTAGTAGATGTCGTTCTGCCCTTCCTTCATCCTGGTCACATAATCCTTCAAGCTGGTTAGCTCATCACCACTCTTGGTGGAGTGATATCTAAGCAATTCAGCAATCTTAGTCTTGTTCTGGGAATCCTCATGTATTCCCAGCTTGAGGTTCTTCGAGAAAGCCTCGTAGAACTTGTTGTAATCTTCTTTGTTCTCTGCAATCTCAAAGAAGAGTTCAATGCATTTCTTGACCAAGTTCTTGCGGATGACCTTCAAAATCTTGTTCTGTTGTAACATCTCACGGGAGATGTTGAGAGGCAAGTCCTCAGAGTCCACAATACCCTTCACAAAGCTCAAATACTCAGGAATCAACTCCTCACAGTTATCCATGATAAAGACACGTCGAACATAAAGCTTAATGTTGTTGGGCTTCTTCTTGGTGTCGAAGAGATCAAATGGAGCTCTCTTAGGAACGAAGAGAACCGCCTTAAACTCAAGCTGACCCTCAACTGAGAAGTGTTTCACAGCCAAGTGCTCCTCCCAGTCATTGGTGAGGCTCTTGTAGAAAGCTGCATACTCCTCCTTTGTTATCTCCTCAGGTTTCCTCATCCAGATGGGTTTCTGCTTGTTCACCAAATTCCACTCATGAGACACTTCTTTGATCGTCTTCTTTTTCTTTTCAGCCTTCTCCTTCTCTTCATCGACTTCCTCAACCTTTCCTTCCTCATCTTTCTTGTCCTCCTCATCCTCATCATCAGAGATCTCCTTCTCAGTGGTCTTCTCAACCCAAAGGGAGATTGGGTAGCTAATGAACTCAGAGTGCTTCTTGACCAAATCCTTCAGCCTTCGCTCCTCAAGGTATTCAAGCTGGTCTTCTTTGAGGAAGAGAGTCATCTTGGTGCCCCTGCCAAGGCTTTCACCAGATGTGTCTCTAGTAATAGTGAATGAACCACCAGCTTGCGACTCCCACACATACTGCTCATCATCGTTGTGCTTTGTGGTAACCACTACCTTCTCGGCAACCAAGTAAGCAGAATAGAACCCGACACCAAACTGCCCAATCATACTGACATCAGCACCAGCAGCAATGGCTTCCATGAATTCCTTGGTTCCAGACCTTGCAATGGTACCGAGATTGTTCACCAAATCTGAAATTCCAAACAAAACTAGTTAGATACCCTGAAACATAATAATTAAATAATATGAAATAATTCGAGTTTATCTCTACTCACCAGCCTTGGTCATTCCAATACCGCTGTCAATGATAGACAGTGTGTTATTGGTCTTGTCAGGGATGATGTGAATGAAAAGCTCTGGTTGAGCATCAAGCTTACTCTTGTCAGTCAAACTTTCAAAACGGATCTTGTCAATAGCCTAAATGCAACATTCAAAAATCAAAGAGACAGAATTAGAATTTCACACTTAATAACCAAAGCAGTTGTGACAACCTTGGGAATGCACGTTAACTAAAACTATTGCAATGAAATATTTATTTATACTGATTAAATTCAGATTTTTTGAATATGAAACGAACATCTTATTGGATGTTCATTATATTACATGCGTATGAACTATTTTCATTAATATCAATATTGTTACTGGTATTGTCAGGCCACAGTAAGAAGAGGAACAGACACGATCAAATGGCTTTGCTTGTTACTGATTGATTTTAGTAGTCATAACTACACTAAAACATAACTTACAAAGTCTTATCTAGTTAGTAGTTACTACTCAATTATAAAAGACGAAAAATAAACAATAACACAAGGAATTAATGCAAACTGATTTGATCCATGTGACGTATTGACGTTTCTGGTAGAGGCTAGAAAAATGGATCATTCACACGGCAGAACAAACTGTTACTCTATCCAGTTTCTACTTCTGTACTTTGTTTATACAAGTCAACAATATAGAAATTCATAACATACTTCAGGCCATTTAGGGGAGTAATGAACTAAATTATCAAATAATACACAAACAGTACAAATATTAAGCAATAATAGTTCAAACAAATCGCACTAAGGGCGTCATGCGTAGCCTAATACGATGCAGTTAACATTTTCAATCTAATCTTCAAAATTAGAAGAACAAATTCTGCAAGTAACTAAAAATGTAAAATAAAAAAAAAAATCAACCAAAGCCAAGGACCCGATGAAGATTAAAAGCAGTAATTCATTATTCAAACATAAATTGAGAACGCGGAACAGAAAACCGATCTACCAAATAAAACTAGAAAGAGAAATAGAGGTTTTACATCAGATGAGTTGCTGATGAGTTCCCGGAGAAAGATCTCCTTGTTGCTGTAGAAGGTGTTGATGATCAGACTCAACAGTTGATTGATCTCAGCCTGGAAAGCAAACGTCTCTTGTTCAGCCATTGCAGATCTCTACCTTTTCCTCTAAAATTTGAGAATGAGAAGTAAAAGACGCTGGAACTAGGGTTTGTAGAGATCCAGAAGACGGGGAAGCAGGAGATGAATGCTGCGCAATGTTGGTGGGTTTATATATATGGTTTATTTAGGGTTTCTAGATCCTTCTATTCGGACCTTAATTTTCACGTAATCACGCGCGGTTGTGCATTGAATTTTCTCTTTTGTAAGGTTAATTAATAGACCGGCCCCACAAAGATCTGTTTGAGTCTAAACATAATACTTGACATAGGGATTAGCACAACACACACATGGGAAGGTCGACATTATTTAATTCAGGTCGGGACCCACATGCAATGTGAGTGATCGGTCAACCCCTATGTCAAGTATTATGTTCATTTAGCTTAATTCCATTATTTTGGACCATACTATATGTATCGAATTTTTTTATCTAATCACTTACCGACTACTCACAATAGAGGGTGGGGACCACATTTTGGGATTTTTTATTCTCGCGGGGGCCACATGCACATGAGAGAGAGTAAATAATTCAGTACATTAAATTATGTACAAATATCTTTACCCATTTTGGAATAATAGATTGATGGAGAATGCGTGGTTGAAAAAAAAGGAAAAGTTATTGATATGATGAGAAATATTATTTTATTAAAGAATATGTAATTGAAAATAGGTAGAATAATGATAATGAAAATTTTAATGTGGCTCAACTACAAAACGCTTACTAAAAAAGTTGCAATTGTGGCACCGAGGATTTGTGTTCATTGGCATTTAAGTCCTAATATTTTTAGCGTTTGAGTTTTTAATCAACTGTCATTTTAAGTTTTAACCTATTAAGCTCGAAAAAATATCAAATATCGAAAACAACAATTTGATTGTACCTTTAACCTAAAAAACCACCGTTGATTTCATCTTCGATTCTATGATTTAAAGGAATTTCATAATTTTCTCTAAAACTTCATAATCTTGTCATTATTTGCACAATACTGCTCATTATAAATATAAGATTGTAATTATGTGAGCATTAATACCGTTACTAATTCACGATTTAGAGGATATAAATGCCTTTCTCCCAATCCATTCAAAATTTAAAGTTCTACACAATTTAGAGTTTCTTGGAATATGATACAGTTACTAATTCACGATTTAGCGCGTATACTAAATTAAAATTTCATTCTTTGGTTTTGCCATAATATTTATGAAAGCCTTTCATTACTTATCTACAATGAAAGTTTGATTCCTATAATGCATCTTGATTTTTGACCTAGTTCTTATGGTGATGACCAATTCAAAATGTGGTAAAAAGATGTATCTTAATTATATTTTATCTTTTCGACGAGTTTACAAACAAACCCAAAACCTTCTAACGTAAATAGTTATTCACAATCTAGATGAATAAATATCATCAACCTCTAAAATTGTATTCAATCATTTAAGTTTTTATTAATCTCCAATAAAAATAAAAATAACTTGGTCATATAACTAAATTACACTTGAAATTAATTTTAAATATGAGGTATGTTTATGGGATTTCTAACCTTTTCAGATCCACGTCGAATTTGTAAATACAAAACTTCACATGACAAAAATTCTCAATTTTGACGTTAAAATTGCACATGACTTTCAGATGATTTGGAGATGAAATGTTAAGTGATTTCATGGTTTTACCCTCTGATTGTCGGTTGTGTGAATGTCAAGAGTGATTTCAACTTCTAAATTGATGGTTTGAACACATTTGGGACATATATTCACATAGTTAAATACGTTGTGAACGGGGTTAATTGAACTTGTGTTAGCAAATGTTTTGCACAAATTTAATTGGGAACATCCTGATAGAGCAAAAAGGGAAATCTTGGACATCGCCGAACATTGAGGTCTCATAATTGGTAGAAAAAAAATCCACTAATTGTTGTTGCGATTCCTCGTGATTTCTAAATTAATTTGTTTTCAAGTCCAAGTATTCCCTAGGCAAGATTCTCTGGCCACTCCCAAACTAAAGCCTAGCAAATCAGATTTGATTTTGTTCACAACATTTTCTCTGAAATTGCTTGCAAACATTAATTATATGTTTGTATTTAGATTTGAATTTGGTAGTTTGATAAATTTTGTTAAATTGTTTTGGTTTGGGTAGCTTAATGAATTTTTTCCTTCCTTCGAACTCTGAAGTTGATTGCAATTCGTTGCGATTGCTAACTATGGCTTTTATTGTAGAGATGGTGGTGGTGTTGGCAGCGGCGATGATAGGGGCGGAGTCAGAAAGATACGTTAGGCTGGACTAAAATTTAATTTTTTTCAATAAACTACCATAAAAAATATTCTAAATCACACGAAATTTAGTTTAAAATGTTAAATTCACTACACTCATAATAACGTGGGTCATAGACTCATAATATATTTTTGAACATTCTTAACAAAGTTTTAACAAATAAAATTAAATGTACATCATATTACTTATTTTGATAATAACATCCATTACATAGTCGAAATAAATAATTTTTTAACTCACAAGCATAAATAAGTAATATATTAGAAAAAAATTTAATTACTTTTAAGCTTAGCCAAACATTTGGCATCTTAAATTATTCAAACAAGTTATTTATCTTTAATCAATATAAAATATTTGCTATATAATAAACTAATTTGATTATAAGTGAACTTTTTAAACCTATTTATATATATGTATGTGTGAAATAAAATATTTAATTTAGTAACGAGTTATTTGTATATCATGAATATGAATAAAATAAATATGCAATTGTTTCAGAGTTTTAAATTAAATTTGAATTATTGAACATTGAATTTGAGTTGGAAATGAAGTTTGTTAGACTAAAATTAATTTCGACAAATTTCATTTTTTTTAACTTTTCACTAGGGGTGGGCGTGGGTTGGATTGGGTCGGTTTTTGCCCCAATCCCACATTATCGATTTGTTTGAAATCCAACACAACCCATTTATGTGTCGGTCGGGTCGGGTCGGGTCGGATTGGTCGGTTCGGAACGACTTGTCGCACAAATATTAAAATCATCCAATTTATAGCTTAGCGTAACATTATTATAGTCATCTAATGTCAATAAATTTGAAAATTAAAATAGTATAATCCATCAAATTTTCATCAAAATAATTAAAAAAAACAACGATTACAATTTCATTAAAACGAACCACAATTTTGAATTTATCGATTCTAATTCTACAAAAAAAAATTTAAACAAAATTGATTAAGTTGACAACAAAATACATAGAAATAAAATCAAATTAACGAAATTATATATATATATATTATATTCATCTAACTGGTTATAATGCTCAACATTTTCCATGTGGAAACCATCTAAGTTTGGTGACGCTCTCAACCAATTTTGTGTGCATACCAAAGCCTCCATCATTAACATCCCTCGAGCACTTTCACGACTACGAGCAGCTTCAAGTCACTAGCATCCCTCAAGCACTT